AAAGAAAAGTATTTCTTAAGAAGAAAATGATTTCTAAGAATATGAATACAGTACATATACAATACATATACAATACATACTCTCAGGAAGTATGTTATAGCAAAAGCCAGGTGTTAAGATCTTGTTTGGGTAAGCAGCACCTGGGTGGTCCAATTAGTTGAGCATCCAGCTCTTGGTTTTGGCTCAGATCATGATCTCAGGGTCATGAGATGAAGCCTGCATTAGGCTCCACACTGGGCATAGAGCCTGCTTAAGATTCTCTCTCTCCCTCCCCACTGTGCTCTCAATCTCTCTCTCTCTCTCTCAAATAAATAAATCTTAAAAAAAAAAAAAGGCATTGCTTAGGTAAGAATAAAAATTTAAGGAAATGTCTTGTTCATGGATGAAGATAATGGAAGCAAATCCATAAATTTAGGAGAAGCCAGTAGAGATGAACAGAGAGAGAGTATGAATCTAGTCACCTTTTTTTTTTTAAAACACTTTTCCACAGGAGACTTCTTGATAATGATGGCTTCTTACTCATGTATTGACATACTCTGGTCTAGCCTCTCTTACTACCCGCCTATTATCTTAAGATATCAAGTTTCTTCAAATTTCAGAAATCCTTTGGCTATTCTAAACTAGCTACAGCAATCCATCCCTCTGCTCAAAGATCTTTTAGCTTCAGGTTAAGTCTCCTCAGACTAGCTTCCCTTCCAACACTTGTCCTTCACTTGGTTCCAGTTCAGCCAATATTTCAGGCAGAGTTGTCATGGAAGTGTACCCTGTGTGAACCTCCATCCTATTTTACTATCTCAACGTACTCTTGTTCTTTATATCAATACATATATTTTTAATGGACTAAGTTTTTAAAGCAGTTTTAGGTTTATAGAAAAATTGAATGGAAAGTAAGGGTCCTCAATACCCTACATATAATTTCTCCTATTATTAACATTTTACAGTATTATGGGGCATTTTTTTTAAATAATTGATGAGCCAATATTGATATATTATTATTATTAACTGAAGTCCATAGTTTCAGTGTGCACTCTTTGTGATTATTTTTCTGGTATAATCTTAGCCAGATTCTTGGTAATTTTTTTGCCTGTAACGTGTTATCATGCAGTTAGCCAGCCTTCCTACGTATACTGTGGGCCTCCAGGTACCTTAACAATATATCTCTTTAAAAAAAAAAAGTCTAAATTAGCCCCAGTTGTTTGTAACAAAGAAATATGTCACAACAACTGGTACCAGGAGTGGGATTCAGGACCCAGACAATTAGGGAAATAAAAGAAATCTAGGATGCATTATTTATCTTAAGGTCTAAAATCAGTGAAAATCTATCAATATTCAGGAATCACAATTTCACCCATGCAAAAGAAAAGCCATTAGCTGAATTATAACTTGGGTTTTCCTGGAAGCAAGACCTATGGGGTTGTAAATGTAGCTGGAGTCAAGAATATGTTATGGGTGGAATTTTGTAACCATGAAAAAGATGCATTAAAGTCCTCACCTCCAGTACCTCACAAAGTAAAACTTTTTGGAAATGAGGCCATTGTGTATGGAATTAGTTAAGTCAGATGAGGTCATACTGGAGGAGGGTGGGACCCTAGTCCAATATGGCCAGTGTTCTTACAAGAATACAGCTATGGGAAGATAGACACACACAGGGTGAATGCCATGCGACAATGAAAGCAAAGATTGAACTTACACAACTGTGAACCAGAGAATACCGAAGACTGCCTACAAACCATTAGAAGCTAAGAAGAGGCAAGGAAGGTATTTTCTCACAGATTTCAGAGGAAGTATGCCCTGCCAAAAACTTGATTTAAGACTTCTGTCCTTCAGAACAGTGATACAATCAACTTCTTTGGTTTTAAGCCTCTTTGGCTTTGTGGTATTTTGTTATGGTAGCCCTAAGAAGCTAACACAGGACATTTTTTCAAAAAATGAGAAACTCAAGAAATAGGGAGCATTGTGATTGCTCTTAACACTGTTTGACAGATTTAGAGAGCACAAAATCACATTTCTAAGTTTTTAGCTCAAATAATGGACTTAAATCTGGAGACTTTTTGATGGTGTTAAAATATCTATTATCACCTGTAGTCACAGACAGATAGTTGAAAACCAAATGCAAAGATTAATCCTGTAAGTTGCTGATTTTAATGACAATCGCATTTGCAACCAAGCACTATCTTTTGTATAGGATATGGCACTGTTTTGGAAAACCTAGGATCCTAAAAACTAGAAAGAATATATTTGAAGATCTGAATGGCATGGGATACCCTCTGATATTTCTCCAGCAGTAAAAGCAGCTCCTTGTCTGAAAATCTTTTTTCCCCTTATTTTAAAACCTTATCAGGAAGAAAGAAAGAAAGAAAGAAAGAAAGAAAGAAAGAAAGAAAGCAAGCTTCTTAATGCTCCATTCTCACTCTCATCTCCTATTGACTCCAGAGGTTTAAGTAGAATCAGATTCCAGCATGACTAGGATGGGATTGGGTAGAATAGTCAGATCACATCAAGGATAAATGGTTTATGCACTAAAGTAATCTCAAAGCTTGTTAATTTTATCAAGAAATTTGTGAGTAATATAAGAAATAAATTAAAAGAGGTGTTCCAGGGGCACCTGGGTGGTGCTGATGGTTAAGCATCTAACTCTTGGTTTCAGCTCAGGTCATGTTCTCAGGGTCATGAGATGGAGCCCAGAGTCAAGCTCTATGCTCAGCATGGAGTCTGCATGAAATTCTTTCCCTGTCTCTCTGCCTCTCCCACTCATGCACGCACTCTCTCTTTCTCTCTCTCTCTTTAAAATAAATAAATCTTTGGAAAAAAAATAAACAAAATAAAAGAGGTGTACTAGAAACATATTTGAAAAGCATTTAGACACCATTCTCTGTAGCCCTTACGGCAGTGTCAGGGAATTCTGATTCATGCCTGTTTACATTTCCAGTTCTTAAAGAAGATACTGACTGGAAAAATTGTCCTATGAAGGAGAATTATGATGGCAGAAATATCAAAGACAAAGTCCTATGAACTCCTGCTTTCTACCAAAATAAAAAAACCAGAGGGTATACCACATAACTGGGAAAATGACAGAGTTGAGAACTACCACTGAAACTTGAAAGATGAATATATATCTTGGCTGCTTCACCAAGTTAGTTGGATGAGAATTTGAAAAGGAGAGTAAATTTTTATAAACCTTACTAGAGAGTGACTCTAAATTATAATAACTGTTCCATATGTGGTCCCAGTTCCAAAACAACTTAATTCAATTCATGAATCATCCATATATTTTAGACAGCTATATGAACAAGAAAAAGTTAGAAACAAATTCCATAAAAAAATACATGTTTCTGGTTTTAAGCATATCAGGACATCCACTTGAAAATGAAGGGTAAATTGTTGTACCCTCATTCTCCACAATTAAGAAAGAGACAATATTTAGAGAGCAACTTTGTAGTTTCAAATAACGTAAACTACATTTGGTGACCCAGTGACACCTACTTACAGATGTCCTAAAAACCTGCAGTCTTTGAGTTGGATCCCACCAAAAAGAAGATTCTCTTGCATGATATAAGCTATTGGGCAAGTATCTCTGCCTCTAGGCTATTAAGACTTTATAGAAACTAATTGCGTTCAAAGATCTCTGGTGCATAAGAAAGTTGTCTGGTATCTGTGATAAGGTCAGTGGGTACTCTGAAGGTTTTGTTGTATGTCTTCTTTACCAACTATCTTTCCTTTGCAAAACAGTTTTTGATTTGCTGAGAAACCCTGACAGAGCCTGAGCAATTTACCTTAGAATAATAAGTGACCTTTTAACCTATCTCTAGTCATAAATGGGATGTTATTTTATCCAAATATTTTAGTAGTGAAAAATATCACTTAATTATAATATATAAAAGTACATGTGGAACAATGCCCAGTCCTGTGCAGAAAGTACAGATGGTTCACACTGGAAATTCCCTCAGATTTCCAAGGCATGCATTCCAGCTATAACTCAACTCTCTATCAACATAAACCAGTGAACCCATGAGAATTCTGTGTCATCAGTTGTCCAAAAAAGAAATAAGTTAAACCTGATGGCCTTGGACAAAATGCTGGCATTGCACAGATGTGGATGGCTAGGACATTACAGCCCCACTAGCAGTAGAAAAGGTAATTAACTCTATTAGGAAGGGCTTCTAGCTAGCCACCTGATTATACACTTTGCTTATAAGAAGAAGAGGCCTGTACTTATGATATTTATTTGTCCATTGGCAGTGACTAATGTTTAGGCTAGATGTTCAGGCATTTTAAAGAAGGAATATTAGAAGATTGTTGACATGGGGGCTTGGAAAAGGAGATTGTATGTGGATCTCTCAAATGGGCCCACTTTTAAAAATATTTAGGTCATGTTTGTGTTCACATTCAATAGATTGCCATTTTGTATAAAGATCTTAATAATCAAATGGAAAGATGAACTGCTCTGTGCATGTTTGCCACCATAGATTTTTAGTATAGCATTATAGTGCATGTTTATTGATTTCATGAAAAAGCATCCCCAGCAATGGAGATAGTCAATGGATGGGCCCACACAGTGGGCTTGCCCCATTAATCCAATCAATCACTAATATTTAGTATAAGATTTTTCCTTAGCAGCCATCAAAAATGCAGCCCTTTGGGGTTTCTCAAATTGTGGTGTTGGAAGAGCCATATAGTTACCTGAGAGCAAGTTGATTACACTCGAACCCCACCCATGAAGCTGGGATCAACAATTTTTCTTCACTAAAATACTTATTCTAGTTGCGGAATTGTATTTCTTATCTGTCATTCTTCTTTTATCATTACTAACCCTAGACCAATATAAAACTTAGACCATATAAAATTTTTATATGCCATTATATTATCACATACAACATTGATTTTAATTAAGCAGCTTAATTAATAGCAAGCAGTTAAGCAACACTTTTATGTCCAAGGTCTTGCCATCTACCACATCACACAAAAATGCCTGACCTTAGGGAAAGGAGAAATGATGTACTATGTACATCACGTGGACCTTGTCCAACTTGTGCCAAAACAAGAACCCTTACCCTCCCGTGAAAGCCGTGAAGCAGATGTTGCCTGTCCTGTCCCACCTTCTGAAGCACCAAGACAGCGAAGTTCTCTCAGACACCTGCTGGGCCCTGTCCTACCTCACTGATGGCACCAATGAGTGCATCAGCCAAGTGGTCAACACGGGGGTCCTGCCCAGGCTGGTCCAGCTCATGAGCAGCTCGGAGCTCAATGTCTTGACCCCCTCCCTCCACACCATGGGGAACATCGTCACAGGAACAGATCACCAGACCCAGGTGGCCATCGACGTGGGCATGCTGACCGTGCTGCCCCAGCTCTTGATGCACCCCAAGTCCTCCATCCAGGAGGCAGCTTGGGCCTTGAGCAACGTGGCTGCAGGGCCTTGCCAGCACATCCAGCGGCTGATTGCTTGCGGCATGCTGCCTCCCTTGGTGGCTCTACTAAAAAATGGAGAATTTAAAGTCCAGAAAGAGGCTGTTTGGACCATGGCTAACTTCACAACTGGAGGCACCATAGACCAGTTGATCCAGCTTGTCCACTCTGGCGTCCTGGAACCACTGGTGAATCTGCTTACCACCCAAGACACCAAAATTGTTAAAATCATCCTTGATGTTCTCTCTTTTATCCTCCAGGCAGCAGAGCAGCTTTCAGAGAAGGAAAACCTGTGTCTTCTGATTGAAGAAATGGGTGGCATTGATAAAATTGAGGCTTTGCAACTTCACGAGAACCCGCAGGTTGCCCTGATGGCTTTGAACATTATCGAGAACCATTTTTCTGAGGGAGAAGAAAGTGGCATAATATTACCAGCCCTGGATCAAGATCATGAATTCTTAAATGGCTTAACAAAAAAATACCAAGGCCCCCTTATTCCTAAACCAAGGAGCAAACCCTAACAGGCAACTTAAGAACCTTCTGAGTCTTGGCATGGCACAGGTGTAAAGCGTTTTAAACTAAATGTTAATAAAATTTTCAACACATTCACCTCCATCTATCAAAAAAAAAATATATATCAACCAATATAGTGTGGCAAGACACAGTGCTGTAAGCTCTAAGTCAATAGCCAATATGTGGTGTTGTTTCTCCAATAACTCTAATAGAACCAAGTGGTATAAGTAGGGATCATAATTTTCATTATATACTAAACACTTGCTGAAATATTTCTTTTCAATCTCACTATTCTCAAGTCTGTGCTTAAGAAGTCTCATGCCCAAGAAGGATATGCTTCCATCAAGAGACATAAATGATGCCACAGAATTGGAAGCAGAGACTCATCTAGCGTTTTAAGGTTTCTCATGACATTGAATAAAATAAAGGGGAAAAATAAGGTTTTTGCATTTTGTCTGATAATTCCTTTTGATTGTAAGAAAAAAACATGTGCTTTAATATGATAGGGAGAGAAAGCAATACAAACGGAACCCAGCTGATCCATAGGATGTCTCCTTGTACTAATGTATACGGTTTTACAGTTTAATGGAACACTGTATTAACCCTACACAGAACTACAGCATTTCAGATCCATCATGATGCAGTAAAGAATCCTACCAACTGTGGTATTGGCCAAAATAAAGAGGAAATTGAGATGTATAGTAGGAAGGAAAACTCTAAATATAAGTAGAGACCAGAAAAGAAAATGTTTGTGTGTATACCCAAGATTTCAACAACAGGGACAGGCTTCAGCATATTCTATGCCCCTTCTCTACTCATTGACTAGATTTTCCTTAGCTTCACCTGTTCAAATGATTCCTTAGCTTGTCTCTCCGTCTCTGGACTTCTCCTTTAAGTAAATGACCTAATTTTGAAAAATTAACTTTTATTCTTTATTTGTATTACCATATAGTGATCATTTTATTTGATCCACTTATTTAAATATTTTGAAGATTTTCTAGATAATGCATTCTTTCACATAGAAGTTTCCTGAAAGAAATCGCATTTTCATGTTAATTTTACATTCACAGTGTTGTGTACAAAATGGATGCTTAATAAATGATCAAAATTGAATAAATCAATAAAAATTTAGTCGTAGATTTAGAAGGTATGATTAAAATCCACAAAAGAGATAATATCAGTATCTGAAAATGTCCAGAAATACACATCTAAGTTGCTTTTTGGGCTTCCCATCATAGTGGCACTTTGTTGATACAGAGCACTTACTGGATTTTTTTCAAATAAACAACTATATTCAGAAGCTTTATTTTAACATTCTTCTTTACAAAGAACTAAGGATTCTGCCCTTATAAGAACTAAGGATTCTTCCCTTACAATCATAAATGTTTTGTACTACTGAATTATATCCATCCATGCCACTGATTTTATTTTGATAACTGTCTTCCCCAAATCATTTGTAAAGCATTTGCATCTACATCTCTCCAAGAACATATTGATGAGGAACAAATAATTTGACTCTCCTGAATGTGTGAGGTTTTCAGCTTTTAGTTTCTTTGCTGTTTTTGTTTTTTTCATTTACTTTATTTTAGTGTAAGGTAGCATGGATAGATTCAGTCAAACCTAAACAAAATTTTTTGATGATCACTAATGTATCTTTCTTTCTTCTTCTCATTTTCAAACATAAATAGGACTGTTATGTAACTATACAGTTTTAACTGACTCACCCACTGAAAGAAGATTGAGTGGATACAATCTCTAAGCTTAAGACTTTTTAGCATACACTAACAACATACAGAATACAGAAAATGATCCTTCAACTCCCTAATCAACCATGTCTAGTCGAAGAAATGCAAGCAAATTATTACAACAATCATTGTAAAGAAGTATACTTAGAAATGATCTGAAAGTACAAAGCAACATTTTTGAATACAATATAGATTCCTGGAATTAAAAAAATTAAGTATGTTATTAGAAGGTAAGCACTTTTTTTTTTTTTACTGTTATCAAATCTCCAGAAACTAGTCTAGTGACTAACTTTTAAAGGGATTCAATGTATTTTAGGTGAATTAATTTATATGAATGATGGAGAGCCCAAGTCATTTTGAAGTTTTACACTTTGAATGGTTTATAATATTCTTAGAACACATTATCCAATCTATAATTTCTACCTTTTAAGATATATATGGTAAGTCTGGACCCACTAAAATTCTGTCATCACCATACTGATTTGATAACTACAGCTGGTAGTATATCTTGAAACCTGGAATTGTGATACATCCAGCCTTGTTTGTCTTTCTCACAATTCCTTTGGCTTTTTGGACTCTTTTGTGGTTCCATACAAATATTAGCATTATTTGTTCTAGTTCTGCGAAAATTACTTGGTATTTTGATAGGGATTGCATTCAATCAATAGATTGCTTTGGACAGTATGGACATTTATTTTTAAAGATTTTATTTATTTATTTGACACAGAGGGAGAGATAGAGAGGTCACAAGTAGGCAGAGAGGCAGGCAGAGAGGGAGAGGGAAGCAGGAGCCCCACTGAACAGAGAGCCTGATGCGGGGCTCGATCCCAGGACCCTGGGATTATGACCCAAGCCGAAGGCAGAGGATTAACCCACTGAGCCACCCAGATGCCCCAGTATGGACATTTTAACGATACTTTCTTCTAATCCATGAGTATGAAAATCTTTTCATTTATTTGTATCATCTTCAATTTCTTTCATCAATGTTTTACACTTTTCAGAGTACATGTCTTTTACATTTTTGGTTAAGTTTAACCCTAGATATTTTATTCTTTTCAGTGCAATTGTAAATTGAATTGTTTTCTTGATTTCTCTTTCTGCTACTCCATTATTCATGTATAGAAACACAATAGACTTTAGGGTTTTAATTATGTATGCTATAACTTCACTGAATTCATTTGTTATTTCTAATAGCTTTTTGGTAGAGTCTTTAAAGTTTCCTATGCATAGTATCATGGCATTGGCAAATAGTGGTATTTTCACTTCTTCTTTTCCAATATGGATGCCTTTTTCTTTTCTTGTCTGATTGCTATAAGTAGGACTTCTAGTACTATATTGACTAGAAGTGGTGAGAATGGACATCTTTATCTTGTTCCTGATCTTAGTGGAAAAACTCTCAGTTTTTCACTATTGAGTGTGATGCTAGCCATGGATTTTTCATATATAGCCTTTATTATGTTGATGTATGTTCTCTCTAAACCAACTTTGTTGAGTTTTTATTATGAACAGATACTGAATTTTTTTAATGATTTTATTTATTGGGGTACCTGGGTGGCTCAGTGGGTTAAAGCCTCTGCCTTCAGCTCAGGTCATGATCCCAGGGTCCTGGGATCGAGCCCCACATCGGGCTCTCTGCTCAGCAGGGAGCCTGGCTCCCCCTCTCTCTCTGCCTGCCTCTCTGCCTACTTGTGATTTCTGTCTGTCAAATAAATAAATAAAATCTTTTTAAAAAAATTATTTATTTATTTTACAGAGAAAGACCCAGCAAGAGAGGGAACACAAGCAGGGGAAGTGGGAGCAGGGACCCCAATGTGGGGCTTGATCCCAGGACCCTTGGATCATGACCTGAGCTGAAGGAAGACACTTAATGACTGAGCCACTCAGGTGCCCTTGGATAGTGAACTTTATCAAATGTTTTTTCTACATCTATTGAGATGATCATATGATTTTTATCCTTTGCTCTCCTTATGTGTTATATTACACTGATTGATAAGTATTAAACCATTCTTGTACATCTGGAATAAATCCCATTTGATCATGGTGAATGATCCTTTTAATGTATAGTTCAATGCAGTTTGCTAGACACATAGATCAATAGAATGGAATAGAGACCCCAGAAATAAACCCACACTTATATGGTCTATTAATCTAAAACAAAAGAGGCAAGAATGTACAATGGAGAAAAGGCCATCCTTTCAATAAATGGCATTGGGAAAACTGGACAGCTACAAGCAAAAGAATGAAACTGGACCACTTTCTAAGACAACACACACACACACACACACACACACACACACATTTATAATGGATTACAGAGACTTGAAACCATAAAACTCCTAAAAGTGAACAGATGCAGTAATTTCTGCTAAAAAATTCTGCTAAAGCTACATTTTTCTAGATATGCCTCTTAAGGCAAGGGGGAAAAAAGCAAAATTAAATTATTGGAATAATGCCAAAATGAAAAGCTTTTGCACAGCAAAGGAAACTATCAACAAAACCAAAAGGTAACTTACTGAATGGGAGAAGATACTTGAAAGTAATATATCTGATAAGGAGTTCATAACCAAAATATATAAATAACAAATATATCTCAACACCAAAAATAAATAAATAATCCAATTAAAATAGACATTTTTTTCCAAAGAAGACACACAGATGGCCAGCAGGCACATGAACAGATGCTCAACATTACTAATCATCAGGGAAATGCAAACCAAAACCACAGTGAAAGATCACCTTACACCTGTCTACACTCAAACAATGAAATAATAACTGTTGGTGAGAATATAGAGAATGTAGAGAAGAAGGAAACTTTGTGTTCTATTGGTGAGGATGTAAACTGGTACATCCATGGTAGGAAAGAGTATAGATGTTCCTCAAAAAAACCAAAAATATAAATACCATATGATCCAATGTTACTACTACTATCTATCTGAAGAAAATGAAAACACTAAATGAAAAGATACATCCACTCCTATGTTTATTGCAACATTATTTACCATAGCTAAGATATGGAAACATCCCAAGTGTTTATCAATATGAATGGACAAAAATATGTGGATTGTGTGTATGTGTGTGTATACAATGCATATATACATATAAAAATATACATATAATGGAATATTACTCAGAGATCTTGCTATTTGTGACAACATAATGGACTTAGAGGGTATTTTGCTAAATGAAATAAGTCATACAGAGAAAGACAAATACTATATGATTTCACTTATGTATGGAATCTAAAAAAAAAAAACCAAATGAAT